ATAAAATTACGGAATATATAAACAAAGTTGAAATTTGAAAACTGCTTTAATATTTTATCATAATGAATTATGGAGAACGGTATTTAAGCTCAAAAGACCATACAAACAACACAAATCAGAAGCAGAGCAAAGACAGACCTCCAAAACATCAGAGGTGGTATTACGTGCTAGAGGAGTGAGCATCTCCTGCCGATCGGTCACACCCGCTGTCTGCTCCTTGTCATGATCGGGAAAAACAAAGTCCGTTGATAATTCAGTGTGTAAATAATGGCCTAACAATTTGTATGAAAATGCCAGTCAGCAGTTGACTTAATGATAGATTACATTTGCTGACAAGGTCACTGTATCAACCATAGAAATTGCAAAATGATGACTTCCATCAAGATTGTTGATGTTCTAGTTTCATCAACTTGTTTGTCAATAGCTTTCCTCGTCTTGAAAATTGTTCGAACGTAGAGAATGCTCTTGCGTACAAATTCAACTGGGAGACATAATGGTAATATGCAGATGATAAGGGAATGTTGCAACATAAGTAAGGGAAGTTGACGATTGAAAAGGTGACGTCATCACTATTATCACAAAGCTTTGTTGTTAGGTTACCATTAACGTCTTTTTCTAGTAAAATATCCAAATATGAAGCAGTTGTGTCAGACTTTGTGGTACGTTTATTTCAAGCGTACTTGAAGTTACTACAATACTACTAAAATAGTTACTTCCATATAAATGGAAGTAAGTATTGTTAAATGATAAAACGTCGTCGATATATCTAAATCTCGAGTTAAAGGCCAGAGCAATTGATTTCTTCTTCTCATTTACATTCTAAAACAATTTCTAAAACAAGGTAAGTTATTGACAAACAAGTTGATGAAACAAGAATATCAGTATTATCGTCTAAAGTCGTCATTTCGCAAGTTCTATGGTCGATACAATGACCTTATCAGCAAATACAATTTATCATTATGTCAAATGCTGACTGACGTTTTTCATACTACGAGGGGTTATCAAAAAGTTCGTGGACTAGCGCCATAAAATTAACACCGTTTTAAGTACATCAATGAATTTTAAAATACTTAGTTCGCATCATCTTTTCTATTTACAGAATAAACCACAAATCATTAGTTTTATTTTTTAATAAATTAGTATTGGTTTTGTAAGCAATGGTATGTCCAGGCGGCGCAACCTCGAACATGACGTTTTTTCAACCTGAGTTTAACTGAGAAAAACTCTTTTGTTATGAGCACTTGACATCCAAAAATCCCGTTAATTCAGACATGTGTTGGGACAAAATTGTTCCGCAAAATGTGCAATTTTAATCTCATTCTGTAAGTTCTATGAAATTTTATGGTATATTTTATAAGGAGTGCCCAAACAATTAAAGGCTTAAAATGACGTCAAAAAGGGGGAGGGGTTTCTTTTTCCAACATTCTATAAAGTTTTGCCCCTGATAAAACTGGTATGAGCCTAGGGAATGTTTAAACTGTCTATAGAGAAATAAAATCCATCCAGAGTACTTGTTTTTTAATACCAAAAGAGATTCAGTAAGATGAGAGATGCACAGTTAATGTTGATTTGTAGTCAAGGTGTGAAAAGTCAATCACGTCAAAGAGTAACGTTGATCATGTGTGGTAGATATTGAACTCCCTCAAGCAAAATATGCTGGCATAATCAAGCGAGGATCTTTCACTATGTATAGATTCATTTACAATTTTATATGCATTGAAATCAGCTGTTCATGACATTGTCATGTCATATAAACAAAACAGGTTTCAGTTTTACTTAACTCCAGGGAATCTCATTAAGATAAGTGAATTGAGACAGAGGGAGTGCGCAATGAGAAATAATGACGTTGTCGGACGTCATGAAACTAAAAGACGACAGCGCCGGGTGATCATATAATGTCTTCCTTATTTTAAAATAATTTGACAAATTATCAACGTATCAAGCTAAAATTTTCAACACTTCTTAAACTTTTGTTGTTTAATGTTCCTTAATAATTTATAAATTTTGTAAACACAGACTACATAGTATTAATTTTATCGCATCAGTCCACGAATTTTTTGATAACCCTCGTAATTGTTAGTTCATTATTTACACACTAAATTGTCGACGGATTTTCCTTTATTTCTCGATCATGACAAGGAGCACACGGTGGGTGTGACCGGTCGGCAGGGGATGCTCACTCCTCCATGGCACCTGATCCACCTCTGATGTTTTAGAGGTCCCTGTTTGCTCTGCTCCAAAATTTGTATTGTTTAATGATCTTCTGAGCTTGAATACTGTTCGTTATCTCCATACATTTCATTAGAGATTTTGAATAATTCTGCTTCATATGAATTCAAAACTAGATCTGCTTATAACGGGGAGCAATAAGTATCCATTGGAATTCCGACAGATTGTTGGAAGACCTCCAAAACCTACGTGGATTTTGTCAATCACAAAATCAAGCATCTTTTTAATATCAACTTCAGAGTACTTGTGTGTACAATCAGAATGTTTTGTTAACAAAATAATGTTGCAATTGACCAATGAAAATGTAAGTATATTCACGAGTTCCATTTTTATTGAAAAAGAAGCTGTCAATGATATCAAAAATCTTGGACTTATCAAACTGCATGGTATGTTTGTTTGTTTGTATGTTGTTTAACGTCCCTCTCGAGAATTTTTCACTCATATGGAGACGCCTCCACTTGCCGGTGGAGAGCTGCAAATTTTGTCCTATACACGGCACTTACGGCCATTGAGCAGTGAGGGATCTTTTTCGTGCGACACGGGACCTCGGTTTATACGGTCTCATCCGAAGGACCGGTCTCCACGTCCTACAGTGGGATTCGAACCCGCGACGTAAGGATCAACTCCTTACTTCGCGACTCTAGAGCAGACGCTCTAACCACTGCGCCACGCGGGCGACTCAAACTGGTATGAGTTCTCCTATCACGACGCTGTCAGAGTCTTTCCAAGCTATTTCAGTTTGGGCCAGAGCATCAATGCCGTTCAATACGGTGTGCACGTGATCGCACAGCGCTAGTAATTTATTTTTCACTGATTCGGCATACAAAGCATATGGATTAAAATTTTGATCAAGGCTTTCTCAGATGAATTGAAATTAGATTTGCATGGTTTACAGATTTGCATAATTAATGATTCAAAGGACAGTGTTCTGACACTACAGAAGTATTAACATCTGTAGAATTGTCATAACTTGTTGCTTAATTATCCAAGTTAGAACATGATGGTCGACAGCAATAGAAAATGTCACATACCCCAGTTATGACACTAATTTTCCCCCTGAAACATCACCGGTCTATGTTCGGCGAATCCTATGTCAGTTTTAAATACTTTTAATATTCCCAACAATCAAAATGAATATATGAATTGCCATACCTATACAGGATTTCTTTACTTCATAAAAATCCTTACAAACAAAGATATATAGCGGGTTCCAGTTCTGCCAAGTCTCTTAAGTGTCTTTACTCCTCACGCAAATATCAACAGCAGTGAAGTAGAAATTTCAGGAGTACTGTACAACTATATTTTTGAGAAATGGTGTAAATTAGATATTGAAATTAAAAATTCTAAGGAACTTTCAGATAATTTGAAATCACAAAATTTTACCAAAAAATCAATACCAAAATCAATAATATCAAAATGTACGACTTTTCCGCACTTTATAAAACCATTCTAGAGATAAATTAAAGTCCAGGATTCTTGACATCATTGACAGCTGTTTTTTCAATATGGAATCCGTTTGGTTTTTTTTCGATCATGACAAGGAGCACACGGCGACCAGTCGACGGGGAATGCTCATTCCTCGATGGCATCTGATCTCTCCTCTGGTGTTTTAAAGGTCTGTGTTTTTTTCTGCTCCTAATTTGTGTTGTTCAAATGGACTTGTGACTTAAAGAAGTTTTCTTTCAACTTTGTATATATATTCTGTAATATTAAATGTGTTGGTAAAGTTTGAATAGCTGATTGCCAAAGCGCGCTTATCAATAGGTTTAACTGAAGTTTTTTTTTTCCTTCATTGTTTCTTTATTATTATAATTATTATTTTTTAATGACATTTACTGGTTTAGCTGCTTTAAAAGCCTACTTCAACGGGTATTTTTGAAATTTTCAATAAATTTTTTTCACATCATTTATTTTAGTTGTTGTTGTTTGGTTCATTGAATGTTTGAAATATGCCTTTCATTTTCTTTTTTTTTTAAGTTTTGATTTTATTATATAAATATTTACCTCAACTTGAATAAAAATTATAAGACTGCTCTTACACATATTTTCGTAATATTTATGAGAACATAAAAATTAAACATAAAAAAAAAATTAGTTCATTATGACAAGCCTCTTCACAGATTTGAACTTTCAGATTTTTTTCTGCCAACGAAATGTCTAAAACTATTTTTTTTTTATTTTTTGTTATCTTGCTCTCTCTCTCTCTCTCTCTCTCTCTGTGTGGGTGTGGGTGTGTGGGTGAGGGTGTGTGTACGTGTGTGTACTATAAATGTTTCATTTTGTTCGAACAAATTATCAAAGGCTACATCGCAGATTGTTTCAAAATCATGCTTTGGTTTTTATTAAAATTATATTCCAGACTTTTAACTATACTTTCCCATTTAGATGAGTAATAAATACGGAACGTGCGAAATAAACAGATATGAAACACACTTAATTATGACAGAGTACATTTAGTAATTTGTAAACGATGAGCAATGATTTATCAAATAAAAATATTCACATTCATACCTTGACAATAAATATTCTTAGATTTGTCAATATTTTATGAATACTGAAATTTATCATCATTGTTATCTAAATAAGACATAATAAGGGTTAAGAAAAAGAAGGAAACAATTAACTAGTTTTGTTTATGTTGACAGAGAAGTAACTACATTCATAATTCAATTGAGCCCCGGGGGTCAAATCAGAATGTGTACACTTACTTGTCCGACAGAGTGAACTTTTTTGTGAATCGCTATAAGGGGGATGTTTGACTGCTGATCATTGACATAAATCGCTGAGGGCGGAAGATGATAACATGTTTTCTGTTGAAGCTGTATCAGAAATGTGATGACCTACTTTTGGATTTTCACTCAGGAGAAACCTAACCACGGTGAGTAAATATAATGTTTTATATACGTGATGTAAAAATATTGTATATTATAATTTATCTCTGTATCCTTTCTAATTATACAGTCACAAATACGTGCATTATCATCAGTATCATGAATATACAGCTTCTCGGTAACTATGAATTGTAAGAACTAGACAAGTAGACACGTGCACATTGTCTAGGAAACCGGCCATTGTTGAGATATTTAGTAGAGAAACAGTGTAAGACAAGACAAAGTCATGTAAAATACATGTGTAGAAAAAACATACATGGACAATTGTCTTTAGAACGAATGAGTGCAAATCGGTTATGGTTCCTTGACAACATGACGGTTTAAAAATAAATTATATTGATACATAATTCATTGGCTTGGACACAATTTTTACAACTTACATTGTCTTTTCCTAAACAAAGAAAATGAACAAACCAAAAATAAAGAGAGACAGACATAGAGAAGAGAGAGAAAAAAGGAGGGCTGTAGAGATAGGAACATGCCTCAATTTAGGTCGAAGACTGGCTGCATTAAGTTGAATACAGTAAAACTCAGTTTTAAGGAAGTTGCTGAGCCTTCTAATTCTACTTCCTTATGCATGCTATACCGGAGATTTTTTGTATCCGTTTAGGAACATACTAAGATTCATAAGAAAAAATTTTATAACCGAGTTGAAGGTTAATAAAATGTACATCAGTACATGGAAAACTACGAAAATCGAGTCATTTGTATAAAAACAGAGAATACTGGCCCATTAATTTATGAAATCGGTGCTACATGTAACAATATTGAATGAAGATCGTCGGAATATTTATCACACACGCATTTATTTACTATAATTCGGGCGGGGACACCCTTATATCTAAAAACAGCTATAGATGATAATTTAGAAATCATGATATTAATAAGCTGTTTTAGACAGATAATAAATCTAAAATCACTACATGTAACTTTATTCAATGAACAGTCGGTATTGAATTTAACATTAAGTACTCCTAGAATAATTATTTTCACTCTAGAAAAAAACGGAAAGGACTTAAAAATAATTCAGAAAAAAAGGATCATTGAAAGTTTTATTTTGCCTCTCATTATCAAATTGAAATTTTTTTCAAAGTACACTCTTAATAAAAGGTCTTTAAGTACACTGATCGGTAACTTATGGATGACCACTCCTGTCATCATTTAAACTTGTTGAATATGAATCCCTCTGATAAGAGAGATAACTTTCCAAGGAATTTATTCCAAGCAATTCAATGTATTGTCTTACCAGAGTTTAATAATGAGGACCATTATATGGTCAACTCATTCAAATCTGAACCATGTTACAAATATCGATTTCTGTTTTCTATTGCCAAATCTTTATTAATTACTTATAATAATTTACCTAAAACATTTAAACTCAGTTCCTTTAAACTGTTAAAATTGAGATATTTCTATCTCTTAACATATAATTCTTTTAATTGTTACAGAAATTCAGATGTAGAATTTTTTATAATTAATAATTTCTCACCTTAAAATTGTATTGATATCAAAAACGGTTCAATATAGCTATATACAAAAACAAACTTTATAGACCTCCAAAGTCGTCTTAGAATTAAGTGAAACTTAATTTAAAAAACAGTGTTAAATATTTATGTAAATCATAAATAGTAAATTTCGTCGAAATAGTAGTTGATTGCATTCTAGTTGATAATTTGTATACAATAATTGCTAAGTATGTGTTTATTTTTTAACAGGTTTCAAACCATTTTTAAGACTATGACTACCAGCATGCGGGCCTCACGAATGGCGAAGCTCGTCCTGTTAATATTGGGCGGGGCAGCAGTGATGTACTTCTCCACTTCCTGGATCAGAAGTTATAATGAAGTGAGAGCAGTCCAAGTCAGTGATCCATGCCAGAGGAACTTCACTGAGTTGTCCAAACTAGAATCTGTACAGCCATTACTTCCAAAGGTTTCACCAAAATTTACAAAAGAGGGTTACTGTGAGGGATTTTCCAAACGCGATAAAAAGTTGACTGCAAGAGAGATGCATCGTAAAAACAGATGTGTAGGAAATTTCAAACTTGACCATGCACGTGGAAATGGACAATTCTGGGAGGGGGAAACTCAGTACATTCGCCATACACACCATAAATATCTGAACTCAGACAGTATAGTTCTTGATATTGGCGGTAACAAAGGCGAGGATGCTGACGCAATGATACAAGCTTACCATCCGGGCACTTATCTAATTCTGGAGCCAATCAACTCTCTCTTTACATCGCTAGTGGAGAAGTTCCGAGGTTATAAAAATGTCATTTTGTATAACTTTGGAATAGCTTCCAAAAACGACATATTTTACGTAAATGTTGTTGGGCACGGTGGGGACGCTACATCTGTTTTCACAGAAAACAAGGGAGGTAAATGTGAGCTCAGGGTTTTTAATACAACCGACTTTATGTATCGATTAGGTGTTCAATGTCTGGATGTGGATCTGATCACCATTAACTGTGAGGGTTGTGAGTTCGACATTCTAGAGACCTTGATTTCCAGTGGGTTAATTTCCCGCTTCAAACACGTGCAGTTCGCCACCCACCCAACCTTGCCACACCTTGAGCGACCTGTTGAACGTTACTGTGAAATCCAGCAGAAATTAGCCCGGACCCATATAATTGACTATCAATACAAATTTTGTTGGGAGACGTGGAGGAGAAAATATGTTAAATAATGTATGCTTTGTAGAGACACTACAAGACGATAAGACAAGTGACGAATGAATACCGGTATTATACACGACGAGAAGACACGAGGTCATGCATTAAAGGAAGGATGAATACTAGGTTATGTCTGACAATTTAGATTTGATATGTCGAGGGTATGGATGGGATTGAATCTGACGACTAAGTGGTGAATGTGACGTTTAAGAATTGGATGACAGGGAATTTAAAAAATGGACTTCATTGCCATAGTTTACCTGGGTCTTAATATCTCTGATCAAAACATTCAAAATTTCGTACAATCTTCAAATATATATTAAAAAACATGTATATATATATATATATATATATATATATATATATATATATATATATATATATATATATATATATATATTGTGCTGCTAGGCATTTAGCAGACAAACTGTATTGCCTTATAATAATAAGCAATATTAGTCCTCGATCAACGTACTTTTTTTAAAATCAAGACCCATGAGTCCAGTGTTTAGGCCCTAAAGTGGGCTTAAACAATGTTAAAGGCTTGTATATTGAAAATTTTAGGAATGTTTTCATGGTTTTCTAGCAAGTATATCGTTTATATGCGTATACTAGATGAAGTCCCGCGCAAGCTCGGGAAATAAAACTGATGCCATTGTCGATAATGCCATTTTTCCAAAGTCATTTGTACTTACAATTTAATACGAGGCCTATGGGCGATATCGCTCATCTTGGCACTTTGGCTAAAGAAAAGCAGTTTTCAGTTCATTATTGAGAAGTTTCAATATATATAAGTGGTCCGCCCCACCACCACCACCAGGGGGTCATGATTTGAACAAAATTGAATCTTCACTACCTGAGCATGCTTCTGTATTAAAATGACTAATCGTGGTTTTCGAAGATTTTAAATTATTTTCCCTATATATTTCTATGTAAATGTTTGATCTTCCATTGTGGCCCCGCCCTACCCCCGGGGGTCATGACCTGAAAAATTTATTAATTTGTATGCTACTGAAAGAATTCATTCCCCTTTGCTATTCACCTATGATCATTAATCATTGTAAATAATGAAATTGAAAGGTCAATTGAATAACAGATTTATACATTCAAGAATTTTCATAATGTTTAATACAGAAAGTACTTTTATTGTTTTTAATGGTCAAGTAACTTTCAAATAAAAGACAAATAAAAATGGGACAAAAATGCCTTATCTTTGTACATTAAAAATTCTTCAAAGCTTAAGAGAGCCAATGTGCGAGGGAATGAGGTGGGTTTACTAAAAGTGCCCAAGAACTATTGTTTTGCTCAGCCCGCATGAGATAGTTACAAATGGGCCAAGTAAAGGCAAATACATACATGTAGATATAACTTTAAGATTTGTTACTGAGCATTAAATTAATTATTTTGCTGATCCCTATTCATCCTATTTCTCTTGCTTTGGGCAACATAGCTTCATTTCTCAGCTTCTTTTGTTTCATTTTATATTCAGTCTATGAATCCTTTATAGTGTCACATTATAATCCGGTGCCCGTTAAGGCCATTGGGCCTCTTGTTTTTATGTACAGTCAAAACTTGCCACTGAATGTATCGCGAAAATTAACTTACCTCCGCCAAAAAGTTTTTTTCTTTTTTGTAAAAGTATCTTTTGCTTGTCGATTATCCCCTCCCTACTCTGAATAAACGATGCTATTTGCTTGTTTCTTATCGAAAGGCGACAATATGAAAAAAAAAGTTTTAGATGATTCTCTCTCTCTCCTATAGTTTTCCGCCTGCGTCATGAGAAGATTTGCAATTATAAGAAAAAATATTAAGCAGCTGAAAAGCAGATTAATGTTAAAACATGGAGAAATTTTCAACACTTGGAAAATATCACTAAAATTGGACATTTTCGGTTTGATGAACTTCTACAGCTATTAGCGACTATGATAAAAAGTGTGGAAACCATGTTGTGCAAAAATGAAATAACTAATACAAATAAAATGGATACAATCTAATTAACCAAACTGGCTACAAGATACATAAGATACTGCATTTTTAATGGCTCAAAGCAAAAAGTAATTTAGCAGAAACGTATTATAATGTTTATACTTCTAAATGATATGATATGCTTTGTTCTGCATATAAACCACAGTATTTCTGATTAATGACCCTCCTGATTCGCGTGCATGGAAGAAAGGCAAGTAGTTAAACACAAATTTCGGACAAATAAAACATTTTGACCGGATGTGAACAGAACAGGCTTTAAAAACGTCATCTCCCTGATCCGGCTCTTCCATAAATTTCATTTGAAATGCTGTATTAACCTTAAAAATCTCCTTCGAAAATGGGAACCCTGTTTGTTTCTTACCTTTAGTATTTCTCTACATTATATAGTATCATAGAGGGGCAACCTCTACAACTTAACAAAAACGGAAAATGATATTAGATATTAGATTATAGGTACGGTAGGCTATGAATTCATGTATTTTTGATAAGTTGTCGTGTCTAATAAAAATTCTCAGAGGGGAGGGGGAGGGGGTATGCACCATCCATTCGTCAGGTGCCTGTGGTCTTGCCTAATACCTTCACAACTTTGGAACTTATTTCGCAATGCAGGCAATTTGACAAGTTTGTCTTAATTGTAATCTGGAATGCATTCTACAGATTGAACTTATTTTGAAATTTATAAATCCAGAATAGAGCCCCAAGAACTGTATTGTTCTGGTTATATACATTATTACACTATTCACGCATATTACTACACTATTCACCCAAAGATTATCGTACGATTGATAATTTGGGGATCGAGGATTGCCAGAATGAGGTCCCTTTTCAGGGCTTGAATAAAGAAACTGGCTTATACTAGAAAATGAAAGAAGCTACTGAATATTACGTTTTTGTAATAATTGCAGTATTATTCAAAGATGACTATCAATTTTATTTGTTAGTAAGGTCGAACTCTGGCAAAGAACTACGCTCGCTTACTCTCGATTCCCACCTACATTTTATCCCAATCTAATTCAGTATAAATGTCATTTTGGCCATCAAAACTTTTTTAAATGCAAAGAAGGTTTCATTAGTAATTGATCTATAATTTTAAAACCAGCGTCAAAAAGTTAATTCCCTTTTTTTTAAACTCTTTTCTTAAGGGGGGGGGGGGTAGAAAATTTTATCCATTGAAATCAGGCTTTAAAAATATCAATCAATCATCAATATGTCAAATATGCACGGAAATGGATAAATTACCCTTAAACCTTTCCGTATGTTAAAATGATGTAAAATTCAAAGTATAAGATTGATAAAGTACATTTTTTTTAATTTACAATTTCATTCGAAATTGGTTTTAAAATGACCATTTTTACTGTTTTTTGTCTGTAAACATATGTACCCCCCCCCCCCCCCCCCGTGAAACACAAAAAGCTTTGGAATGAATTTGTGAAATAACAATCCATATTACATGATTACATGTCAGGCACGTAGCCCCCCCCCCTACTTTTTTCCAAACAATTTTTTTTCTAATGAAAATGTTTATTGAAAGGACAGAAGCCCCCCCCCCCACTTTTTATTGCAGTATAGTCAAATAAGGGTAATGTAGTAGTGTATGAATAAAATTTGTAACTGAATTAAGTCGGAACCTAAATATGGTAATTTTTGAAAACTGACTTGGAAGTAGGTGGGAGAACAATACTATCCTTCACAGTTCTATTTTTTTTTTTTTTTTTTTTTTTTTTTTTTTTGAAAAAAAAATCACCGAAAAGTTACAAATACAAATATTTTATTGGCCCAAACACAATTACAGTAATTGGTAAAGGCCCATACAGAACATATTAATGAGCATGATAATACAGTAGAACACAACTAGAATACAAACAATTGGTGTAGCAAATAATGTAGTGTACTCATCAGATATTAGGTGATTCATAACAATGTAGTTACTCATTTATAGCTAAAACATTTTTTCTTATATCATATATTTGACATAAAAATGAAGATAATATTTTAAGAACCCTTTTACACCTGGTTTTCATCAATGATTTTAACAAATTGTCATTATTATGGATTGTTTGGTTGAAATTGGGGAAAGTAGATAATTTTGTTTTGAATATTTTTCTCTGTGCTTCATATTTCGGACAGAGCAAATTAAAATGAAATGTTTTTCATCCTCCATATCATGGTTTTGACATACTTTACACAACCTATCATTTTTATTAATTTCAACATATCTACCTTTTTCAATTTCTAAATTATGTGCACTTAAACTAATTTTGCTAAAAATGATCTATCATGCAGTGACTCTAGTTTGTCAACATAATGTGCACGTTTATTATTAAAACAGAAGTTCCGATAAAATGATAGTTTTGAGGAATTCATAATACTTGCATTTTGTTCTTGTAATATTTGATCATGAATACGTTGCTTAACAATGCCAAGCACTGGTTTCAATGACATATTAAAATTTGTTAAATAAGAAACCCCTAAGTTATTAAGACAAGTCCTTAAACACATAGACCATGTGTTATTTTCTTTAGTTTTGATGAAAATATCATGTGCCAACGTATGTTCAAAAGAAATTAAATGATCAAGGTATTTGATAGCAAACATAATAATTTTTGATCTGACTGGGAGTCTCCCGAGTTCAGAATAGCAAACATTATTTGAAGTTTTGCAATGAACTCCTAAGATTTCTTTTAAAATTTAATATGAAACTTTTCATAACATGCCGAGCCTGAATTTTTTATGACTGACTCAATACCCCAAATTTCGCTTCCGTATAGCAAAAGAGGAATTACTATAATATCAAATAATTTTTCAAGTAATCGGCAGGAATTATGTAATCCGAGGGTTTTCTTTATCTTGAATAAAGCTTTTCTGGCTTTATCCACTAACTGAGCTGCAGCAAGGTTAAATTTTCCATTACATTTAAGATTAATACCAAGATAGCAATATTTGTCAACAGTTTCAATACAGATACCATTAATAGAAAAATGGTTTTAAAAAGTTTTATCATTAGAATTAAATACTATAATTTTTGATTTGGACGTGTTAATATCTAGCTTCCAATTAACGCAATAATTTTCAAGAATATTCAGGCTACATTGTAGACTATCAGGACTACTTGACAACAAAATTAAGTCATCTGCATATAACAGGCAGTGTATTTTTGTGCGCTTTACTAATATTAGATCAGAGTTGATTGATACTGTTCAATTTATCAACAAGTTTGTTTATGAAAATGTTAAAAAGCAAGGGACTTAGTACATCACCTTGTTTGACACCCCTTTCGGATATTAATGGTTCACTTAACCCCTTAACCACTTAAACTTTACTTTGTTCATGGTGTTC